AAGTTATTTTAGAAAGGAAAATAAGGTTGATTTTAATTATGAAATTCAGGGGTCAGATCTTGAAAAAGGTAATAGCATTAGGATTAGATTTAGGAGTTATATTTGATTCAAAATTAACCTTTAACAACTATATTGAGCAGAAATATATAATATATAAGACCGATTAAACTGCTAAATCTATCGCTAGTGCGAACAAAACTAGAATATTGTAGCTTAATTTGGTATGCCTTTTATAAATGTTATATGCAACAGATTGAAAACGTACAACGAAAACTTTTAAAATGTTTGGCATTTAATGTTGATGGCGTATATCCCGTCCATGGTTGTCATTACGATTTGTTATGTAATAGATTTAATATTGTAAGTTTAGAGTTAAGAAGAAATATATTTTCGGTTTCATTTGTAATATAAGTTGTATTGACTGCAGTGATATATTAGGTCAAATTAGATTTACTGTGCCAAGAATTACTTCCAGGTCGACTATCGTGTTTACTTGTCCACGTGCGAGAACAAATATGTTATAAAAGTCACCCATTTATATTATGTGCGATAATTATAACAAAATATGCACCATTGTGATATTTTCCCATGCTCAATTAATCATCTGGTTGATACCGCACTGGTTTATGGAGTACCTTAGATTGTTAATTTTTTTGCATTTTTTTTTTATTTCTTATTTACATAGTGATTTGTTTAATTATATTGTTTTCACTCTTTATTTTGTTTTTCACCTACTTATTTTTTGTATTTATTTTTGTACTTGATATATTTGTATCACCTACTGATTGTATATTAATTAAAAGTGTATCTTAAATTTTTACCCTAGAAATGGGAAACTGTTGGGTAATAAATCTATTATTTATTTATTTATTTATTTATTTATTTATTTATTTATTTATTTACATAACGGAAAATGAGACACTGGATCGAGAAATTAGTTACAGGATACAGGCTGGTTGGTTTAACTGAAAGCGAATGAGCTGGGTACTTTTTGATCGAAAGATCGGGGAAGGGCTGTAAGGAAGAATATACAAGAGTATGGTGAGATCTGCGTTAGGGTACATAGTGTGTGGCCTCTAAAAAAGATTCAGGAAAAGAAGATGGAGGTAGCTGAAATGAAAATCTTAAGGTAGATGTTGGGTAAGACTAGAAAGGACAGGATCAGAAACGACTTGATTGGGGAAAGAGACGGGGTGACTAGAGTCTTAAAAAAGATTCAAGAACAAAGTCTTTAATGGTTTGATCATGTCAGACGTAGAGATGAAAACTATGTGGTATGAAGGATTTTTTTTTGAACCTATTCTCTATCCTTCCATTGTTGGATATAGGTCTCCCCCAGTTCTCTCCATCTTTCCCTATCTTGAGCTGTTCTCTGCCATGTGGGACCTCCTTGTTTCCTGATGTCATCTTTCCACCTCAACTGTGGTCTGCCTCTTGATCTCTTTGCATTGTATGGACGCCACTTTCCGATGGCATTATTCCATCGTCCGTCTAGGAGATTGTGTCCAGCCCATTTCCATTTCAGTTTTGCTGCTTGTTCTATCGCGTCTACTGTCTTTGTTCTGGTTCTGATCCACTGGTTACGTTTTCTATCTTTAAGTGATATACCCAACATTTGTCTCTCCATCGCTCTTTGTGCCTTCCTTATCCTATCCAAATTGACATGTGTAAATGTCCATGTCTGTGCTCCGTAGGTGAGCACCGGTATTATACAGGAGTTATATACCTTGCTTCTTAAGTATAGAGGGATTGTTTGATTTTTTAGAACGTAAGAAAGTTTGCCGAAAAATTGGGAAAACAGAGGAATATGTATTAACGGAAAATACCTAAATCACCTTAGATATGCGGATGATATACTCCTGATCTCCTCGGAACGACAAGAACTGGAATTAATGCGGAATGAACTTCATAAAAAATTACTGCAAAAAGGCCTAAAAAAAATTAACTTCAACAAAACAAAAGTAATGACAAACACGGAAGACCAAGAGGTAATAAAAATACAAACAGAAAAAATAGAACAGGTAAATGAGTATATCTATCTAGGACAAGCAATCAGAGCTAACAGAGAAAATCAAACAGCCGAAATATCGAGACGAGTAAGAATGGGATGGGCAGCGTTCGAAGGATAGAGCTGTTATAAGTTGATGAAAGAAGAGGTAGAGGAAAACCAAGGAGAAGATGGAAGGACTGTGTAGCAGAGGACTTGAAAGAAAAAAGTTTAGGTGAAGAAGATCCGATGGTGCATCGGATGCAGAACAGCAATCTCCGAAAATAGAAAAGCTGAGGAAGAAAAAGATTATTTACAATCTAAATGAAGATAACGACGACAGTGATTATGAGTATGGATCAAATAATTGATATCTCATAAAGTAATATATTTTCAGTTTCTTATTAAAAAAAATTTTGAGTGTTATTGATATTATTTTATCAATTAATACTTGCACTTCTCATTGCACCTGCAATTTTTGCACTTCTCCAAGAAATTAAGTTTGAAATGTTAAAATATTTTATTAGCGGTAATAAAAATGTCCATTGTAATGTTATATTTTGTAAGCTCCTTGTATATGCTATTCGTACACTCTATATTTATTGACTGTGTTTTATCGCTATAGTTTTTTTTGCAACAAAACAAAAAGAAGCAAAAAATGTACTAATTCCATAAATATACTAATTTCCAAGTGTTCACGAATTTTATTCGGCTACTGTTTCATTGTTGATTATTGTTAATTGTGTTTATTATGGAGCGTCAATCACGTAATTTAACCCGAGATCAATGTGCCCAAGCAGTGATACTGTAGGAAGAAGGTTGGAGTTACCGAAGAATTAGTTATCGGTTTAATGTGTCCCACACCGTGATCCGTCTCACAGGTGTTAGAAAAATTCCTCGAAGCAGGCGATCATACTCGCAGACCAGTGCAAGGACGAAACCGGGTAACTACCCCTATTCAAGATCGATTTTTAAGAATTTCTGCTCTTCGACAACGTTTTGTAACACATCGAAGTCTACAAATTCAGCTTCGACACGTGCATGCTATACAAATTAGTACTGAAACTGTTCGCCAGCAACTTAGGGAATACAACTTAATACCTAGGATTGCCGCCCGAGGTCCTCTATTAACTTCAAAGCATCGAAGGGGAGACTACATTTAGAGTTAATTGCTTAGAGGCTGACTGAGAACGAGTGCTATATACTGATGAATCCCGATTTTGTTTGTACAATAACGACAGACGTGTTCGTGTGTTGCGACGACCCAACGAACGATATGCTCAGTGTAACTTCTCACACACCACATTTTTTGGTGGAGGATCCGTTATGGCGTGGAGTGCTATTTCTTTGACCGCACGTACGGACCTATTGGTCATACAAAATGGAACTGTTACAGCTGAAAGGTACATATTGCAGATCCAGGAGCAACATGTAGTACCATTCGCTCTTTATATCCGTGAAAATTTCTTACTAATCCAAGATAATGCCAGAGCTCACGCTGCACAGATCGTCAGAAATTATCTAGAAGAAGTAGAAATTAACACTATGGAATTGCCAGCACATAGTCCGGATTTAAATCCGATTGAAAATCTCTGGGATATCCTTGGTAGGCCATTAAGAGTGACACCGATGTAACCAAACAACTTACAGGAAGTGGGAGAGAGGCTGATCCAGATTTGGAAGGAACTAGACCAAAATGAAATACGGCAATTAATTTTAAATATGGGCCAACGATGTGAGGCTGTACTACGTAGTAGCAGTGAAAACACTCGTGATTAAGACTTTTTCATATTTTAGTTTACTTTTCTGATCATTATTTTTTTAGAATTTTCCGTTTTATTTTTTTTTCTCCTGTACTTCAACATTTTCTGATGATTAGATAAATTTTTACAATTACTAATAAAATGTAGAATAAATCTGGTGAAGTTTTATTGTTTATTCTCTTTGCCTGTTTACAAATAAAATTGATCTATTGAATTGGTGCGTTAATTTCTTGGAGAAGTGTAAGTTAAAATGTATTTTTGCTTATCTTTGACAGTGCGTCAAATATTGGGAGAATTTGCTATTAACTTTTTCAGTATAGCGGGCAGTTTAAGTCCAAACTTTTGTCCCTAATCCAAAATAGTGTCAAATTCGTGAAATATGCTTTAGTTGCAGTGTATATAAAAAAATATATAATGAAATTGGTGAATATAACAATATCAGTATGGTTTTAGACGAAGACGTAGCAGAATAGACACAATTTTCATATTGCAAGAAATTAGAGCGGAATCCTATGAATATGGGAAACCCACAGTAACTTATTTCTTAACTTGAAACAAGCTTTTGACAGAGTGGATAGAAATAAATATATAAAATAAATAAATATATAAAGCAATACAAAGTTGTTAATTAATGAAAAATTAATAAGAATGACAAAACAGATATTCCGAAAACACAGTAAAAAGGGTTTAGATAGATTGTAAAGAAAAAAATTTTGAAGTCAGTAACGAGATACAAAAATCAGACCCATAAACTAGGATGATCTTGTAGTTCGTGCTGGAAGCAAACACGAATTAGGTGAAGTAACCAAAAAACGTAAAAAAAGCAAAAATGAAAGGATTTGGGAAAAAAGTCGTAAAAAAAGTATTTGGAGGAAAACTATGAAACAAAGTATGGGTAAAAAGGATAAATACAAAGTTAAACAAATATGTGGAGTACCTAATATTTAAGGAGTCATAAAAAAAGACAGATAATTGGAAACATGAGACTATAAAAAGATTATTGACTGGGGGAATTGGAAAAAAAAATAAACAAAGTAGACTTAAAATAAGCTGGAAAATGATGTTTAAAAAACTATTCGATAATTTAAAATAAATCAAAAACTGTAAAAAGTATAAAAAACGGGAGGGAATGTTTCCTACCCTTAACGAATAATTTTTCTAAATAATAATAAAAACGTCATTACAAAAACGTGTCATTAAATTTGGGATTTTAAAATTAATAATAAAATAAACTTTAATTCATAACTTACCTGCCCATTTTCCTGTTTCTGATAAATTAACGGCGTTAATCTGCAGGATAGTAGATAAGAAATTATCGTACAAAAATCTAAACACCATTCTTGTTACTTGAATTCCGACAATAAAGGCACAGACTAAGGCAATTTTATTGAGAAGGCAGAAATTGGTTGTTCCCTTCTCCATTACCGTTGATAAAAAATATACTGGATGTGAAAACACGCGCGAATTGTTTAAACTATATGATTATCAGTACGGGCAGCAGCGGAATTGTTGATAGCCAAACAATTTTCGGACGGATTTAGTTTACGCACGCGCAATTTACTTTCACCCCTTTCTACTAGTAACATCGATTTGGAGAAATTGACGCGTTATAGTCCAGGACATTTCTTTTCGGGTCAAAATTTATTTATTTAATTGTTTGAAACAATGTTAATTTTTTGTAAATATTTATATACAATGAGTGAATTCTGAGACTATTAGTGCATTGATCTTTAATTTCTTTCACTATTGCTATTATAGTCTAGTTTTAACATTTTTTTTATTTAGATTTATTCTATCTTGACGACATAGTCATTGATTTACATGCAGTATATAAAAAATTAACACATAATAAAACAATAATGCAAATTGTATTATCGTAATATTGTTCTGAAGCTATTTTCTTGTGGCATTGTATTGTAGCATTGAGATCTATTTTGTCCAAAACCAAACCTAACAATGAACAAGAAAGGACAAAGAATTGCATTTATAAAATAACTTGTGAATGCGATCAGTTTTATTTAGGTGAATCATCAAGGCCATTAAATGTTAGAATAAGTGAACATCAATCTTATATTAAAAATAAAGAATTTGATAGATCTCAAATCTGTAAACACGCATGGGATAATGAACATAGGGTTCAATGGAATAATTCAAATGTAGTCCTAAAAGAAACGGATGGTAAAAAAAGAAAAATCAAAGAAGCGGCTCTAATTATGCTAAATGAGGCCAATTGTGTCGCAAATTCCTCGCATAGAACCTGGTTACCAATATTGAAAGAGGAAGTTATTAATAAGAAAATACCAGTATTAGTAAGTCAGTAACATATAGAGGATACATCATTTATGTTTTTTAAATAACGTAACATATAAAATCAGAATTTTGATGTTTGTTGAAGGTAAACTAAATTCACGAACAAATACTTACAATGTCGGGATAGTATTATGAGGTTTTTTTCCTGGTTTTCCCGCATAATTTACCATGGAATCACTAACAGGAGAATTTTACTGTCATCATGTCATGTGTTTGTCTTTTTAAAGACGAATTACATGCTATGATTTTTTTCTGACGGATATTCTCAAGTTAAAGTTGATTTCATGTAATCGAATGAACTATCTTATAAGTAGTCGTCCCAGGAGCGCAACTCAACAATATTGGCAATATCATTTTAAAGTCGTCTACTTTAAAATGCATAATGTATGTCTGAATTGTCAATATAAATGAGTCAGATAAAATTAAATTATTAGAAGAAATTTTCACTATGTAACACAAAACAAAATTTGTTTAATTTACTGTTTGTATTTTGAGAACGATTTCCGAAGTGGAAATTGAAACGTCAATAAACGTATTTTTATCTTTAATTGTGGCTTATTCCCAGTTTAATAGTAATTAATTGTATTATCGTATTAAGAAAGTCTTCGAAATTCCGAAAAGATCTTTCAAAATGCCCTCGAAAATATTGAAGAAGGAATAAAAATCAACGGAGAATACGTAAACAACTTAAGATACGCAGACGACACCGTCATTATTGCGGACAGTGCTGAGGGTTTACAACTACTTTTGAATTTCATAACCAGAGAGGGAGATAGCTTGGAACTAAATATAAACACAAATAAAACAACAGTAATGGCTGTTAACACGTGCACCAAATGTCGACATTAATATTCGTATCTATAACTGTCACCTCGGGGTAAATGGAAAGGGTCTAAAACACCTTCGTACCACCGTGTGCTCTGTAGAGGGCTTCGAGAACGTCAACGAAAGCACCTCTACCCAAGTCCATTTTCAGGATATGAACTTGTAAAGTTTTCTCATCTGATGACTCGTCTTGAGAAAGACGAGCTATTTCTTACATGACTTACAACTAAGAAAGCCGAAATAAACATCAGGTTGTTGTCTTCGGTGGCTTGCCTTGACAAAGGCAAGATATTTCTTACATGACAAAGATATTAAGGTTGTCGAAATAAAATCACCAAGTATTCAGTTGAATAATAATACTCAGCCACAGAGTATGGAAAGCTAAAAAGGAAGCAGAGCCCCGAGAGCACTAAGCTCTCGGAGAGCCCGTGAAGGACTGACTTATTTGACCTGAAAATCGCCTATTTTTATACTTTCTGAAGTAGCTATTAGGGATTTCCAGGTCAGGGAGGGGCCAACGGAAAAAATAAGGGGCGGGGCGATGCGTCTCGAACGTGAACTAGTCGCGTCCGAGAACATAACAAACATATAGAACTAGTACAAATATTCCAGTATCTTGGTTGCTGAATAACAAACAATCTTGACCACGAGGTCGAAATACGTGCTCGTATAGAATATGCTAGGTCCGCATTTCAACGAATAAAAAAATTCCTAATAAACTCTACGTTATCGTTGGATATCCGATACCAATTTGTAAAAACGTTTATTTATTCCATATTGCTATACGGAGTGGAAACATGGACTCTCAGAATTACAAGTATGAGGCGTATAGAAGCCTTTGAAATGTGGGTTTTTCGAAGGATGCTGAAGATCTCTTGGACAGAGCACGTGACCAACAACGAGGTGCTAAGAAGAATGGGTACTGAAAGAGAACTCCTAAATATTGTAAAAAACAGGAAAACGAATTATCTAGGACATATTTACAGAGGAGAAAAATACAACTTCCTACGACACTTATAATAGAAGGGAAAGTGGAAGGAAGAAGAGGTCCAGGAAGAAGAAAATGCTCCTGGTTGAAGAATGTAGGAGACTGGACAGGTATAGACACACATTCGATACTAAAAACAGCTCAAGACAGAGAGCAATTTGCTGTAGTTATGTCCAACCTCACTAATGGAGAAGGCACCTTAAGAAGAAGAATTAAAAAAGTCATATAACGAAAATATTGAAGGAATATTGGGCAGAAATGAACTTCTTCTTCTCATGGCGCCGTCTCCTTTCGAAGGTTGGCGATCTAAATGGCAATTGTAGTTTGGAAACTGCTGCACGAAAGATTTCTGCGGATGAGCGATCGAACCACCTCCTCAGGTCTTTCAGCCACGAGTTCTGGCGTCTTCCTACTGATCTTTTTGCCCCTATTTTCCTTCCAGTATAACTTGAAGTAATTCATATCTTTCGCCTCTCAACACATGACCCAAGTATTGCATGTTCCTCTCTTTGATTATTCTTAGTAACTCTTTTTGTTTACATATGCGACGAAGTACCTCAACATTAATAACTCTTTGTACCCATGGAATTCTCAACATTTTTCTGTCTATATACATCTCAAAGGCATCTAATATTTTTTCTATTTCAGAGTCCATTGCCCAACTTTCACAGCCATACAGTAAGACAGAAAAAACGTAACACCTGATCATTCGGATTCTAACCTGCAGACTAAGGTCTGATATTGTAAAAAATGTTTTCATGCTAATGAATGTTTTCCTTGTTTGTTCGATTCTTGATAGGATTTCTTTTTTTGGATTACACTGACTATTGATATTTACTACCAAATATTTTATGGAATTTACCTGTTCTATTATTTGACCCTTGGCATACACATTTACATTTATTGGTGTCTTTGAAAATCACAAAATTTTTGTTTTGGAAACGTTTAGATGTAAACCGAACATTTCGCTGTGGTGAACTACCGCATTTATTAAATTTGGTAGTTCTGGTGCGTTGCTTGCTATTAAGACGATATCATCAGCATATCTGATGTTGTCTATGCTGATTCCGTTAATCTTAATTCCGCCTTGGACCTCGTCTAATCCTTCTTTGAATATAGACTCCGAATACAAATTAAACAGTAGCGGTGATAAGACGCAACCCTGTCTCACTCCTCGTCGGATTTGTATATTTTCGGATGTTGTGTGCCGTTTGGTGCCAGTATACCTAGTTCTGAGATAATTCGCAAGTCTTGTTCGTCAACTTCAGTTGTTCTCAGAATTTCGATCATCTTTTGATGGTTAACGCAGTTAAATGTTTTTCGATAGTCAATACAACATGCGTATACAATCATTCATGTCTCTGCATCGTTGTATTTAAAGTAAAAGAGCCTCTCGTGTTCCCAATCAGTTTCGAAATCCGAATTGAGTGTCACTCAACTGCAACTCGCACTTCTTGTAAATGCGTGTATGGATAATTGGATAATTCTGAGAAAACTTTTAAGGACATGAGACATCAAGCTTAATATTCGGTAATCATCGCATTGTGGGAAATTCGATTTTTTTGGTAATGCTGCGAATGTTGATTTTAGCCAGTCTGTTGGTATTTTACCTGTGTCATATATCTTATTAAATAGTACTGTTATTAAGTCTACGCTTTCACTTTCGTTATCTGCAATTAGTTTTAGTGTTTCTACACTGATATTGTCTGGACCGGTGGCTTTTCCATTTTTCTGAGATTTTACTGCGTGAATCACTTCTTCTTTGGTTATTTCTTGGCCTTTTCATCTATTCGATTATCTGTGGATGGTGGAGAACAAGGTCTATCGTCGTCAAAAAGAGTTTGTATGTATTCTTTCCATCTTTCTAGTTTGTCTTCTGTACCCATAATTATTTTTTTATTATCATTTTTAAATATTGTTGCTTGTCTCTTTTTGTGTCTACCTGTCATTTCTTTTACCTTTTTAGGAATATTAAAAGTGTCGTATTTTTCCTGAAGTTCTTCGATTTCTAGGCATTCTAGAAATGAACTGGGGCAGAGAATTGTGAGGGGTGTAGACTAGAGCCCTCTACATCTAAACTCACCTAAATCACGATCCTTCGTAAGGGAGAAATGACAAGAGAGGGATTAAGAAAGTACAATTATCTCCAATTAGAATTTCGAAAGAGATAGTTTTCGTTGACATATACATCCTGGGTACGGACACATCCTATAAACTCTGTTAACAACTATGTAAATGCAGACCTTGTGCAGAGATATTTTTTCACGCCATGCAAGGCCCTTACACTCACTGGTCTCATTTCTTCAATCGCTTATCTTCTTTTTTGTCACAAACAATGATGGAGTCGAAGAAAGCTGACCAAAAATT